GGTGAGCTTTTCTGGGTAGAAAGCTCACCGGAAGCACTTTTTCATCAAAAAAAGATGGCGGCGCCCAGCAAGCCAGCGGCCCGGTAGGACCTGTTCCGCAGACCGGTACCGGTCCGCGGACCGGTGGTTGGGGACCCCTGCTCTACCTGACTCTGTGGCTTCTTTCCTAAATCCCAAAAACTTTAACCTTAGACTTTCTACTATTGACCTCACCCCTTTCCTAAGAGGTCTGTAGGGGGCGTGCATAAGCGCACCAACGTGCCTACCATCCCTGTCCTATTGTTTCTTTTATTTTTTTTATTTTTCTTATATGTATCTATGTATTCATAACTATGTTTTTACTTATACCTATTATCTTGTCAGCAATTGACAAAATAAATAAAGAAAAATAAAGAAATAAATAAAAAATCATATAGTTGCTACATGATATGGATTTTCTTTTCAGAATTTAAGCTCCCTTTTTGTTTTTAAACACATTTCCAAAACCAACATATGTAGAACAATTTTAATGCATCCAATTTGGATTAAGTACAAAAGGAGCTATTGGAAATATAGAATTGAAGGAGACTATCTAATTTCAATATAAACTGAAATGAATAGAACTAGGTATCTAGCCTAAAATGGCCACATTTTAGATTTATTATCTCTACAGTGTTTGTCATTAGATGTTCAACTTTCACTAACAGTCGTGCTACAAAGCTATGTGCCAAATTGTGATAACAGGGCATAAAAGTAACATCAAATACAATTTCTACCCAGAAATTTCTTTACGGTATCAGAACCAGAATGTCTTTAAAATCTGTACTGTTTGTTGACTTGGAGTCTCCTGGTCTTTCCTTTGTGTGTGCAGGCAACAGTGGCGGCCTTTGCAGCCAGTGAGGGCCACGCGCATCCCCGGGTGGTGGAGCTGCCAAAGACAGATGAGGGCCTAGGCTTTAACATCATGGGGGGCAAGGAGCAGAACTCTCCCATCTATATTTCTCGCATCATCCCAGGGGGTGTTGCTGATCGCCATGGCGGGCTGAAGCGTGGAGATCAACTGCTGTCTGTCAATGGTGTGGTAGGTATTGGGTAAAGGGAGACATGGGACCTTCTATGTCTGTATGGCAAAGGTGTTGAGATGTGCATGGTATTTTTGGGCACTGACCAACAACTTCCTGATTCCAGTGAATGGTGAACCTCAAGCGTGTTAGGCAGACAAAGTGTATTTCAGCAAATAGTGGGGTAGAATCTGTTGCAGAATTGAAGGGAAGGCAGAAAAGATTGGCTGACCTTGAATTACTGATGTGGAGCAAGAGCCTAAAGAGTGATCCTCCCTAAAGGTTCACGTGGTTTTATCCAGTAGTTTCTACAGCAAGTGCCTTAGTTTGGCAAAATTCCCGTCAACAGGTGAGTAGCAATAAGCATGCTATTCTGCATCATTTCTGGTTCCTTGTGCTTGACAAATAGAGAGGTGTGTACTTTCTGCCCATCTTATCTAGTATCAGGTGGCCTGGGAATAGGGAAATTTTAATTTCCTACCATTCTTCCAGACTTGCTCCAGGCCACTGTGGAAAACGATAAGCTGCCATTTTAATTTCATAAATACTTTAGCATAATACTTTAGCATAATGCTTCATTGAACAAATAAAAAAGGCAATTCTCCCAGATTCAGCTTCTCTTCACCCTTCGAATGTTGGAAAAAATACTTAAAGCTCAGAATAGGCATTGGGTATTAGGATTTACTGAGGCTTTGTAGTGTTGGGAAGTGCCCAAAGTGTCCTCTGCTTACACTAGGTTTGGGATTTAATAGGTAGGCTGATTAAGGATTTGAGACCATTTGAACGAGCAGAACCTCTATTTTGGATAAATAACTTTTAAAAGTTATGACATTTTTAGCAATTGTTAAGAATAGGAGCAATTTATGCATGAGGAAAATAATTTATGACATGACATAAATCCACAGATAGATTATATAAAACACCAATCTGTATTACAGGATATGTGGTAGCTGAGATGATCCTCTATTCTGTCCTCCCTTAAACTGGCATTCTCTAAAACCTAAGCTGGCACAATTATGTGAACTACAATCCCAATATATCCAGAGGGCATCCATTTGTAGAAGAAGCTATACATTAACTGCAAATCTTTAAGAAGCCAAAACAAAAGAATGCATACTCTTTCATAGAATGCATTGATTGGAATATGGGTCCAAAAACATCTTTTTGTGAAAAGGAACACTACTGTAAGTTGTAGCAGAACCTTCTTTCGTAAATCCCAGCTCAGTGACAAGGACCATGCCAAAGAAATAAAAGCCAAATATGGAAAAAAATTGTTTGAAGGATCCCTTTAGAGGTATTATTGGCTGAAAATCTGAATATCCACCCTCTCTTCTCCGTAGCATTTTTGTCTGATGTATCACTTGTATAAATTTGTAATTAAGGTAGAAAAGGTGGCAGTTGCTCACTGGCCCCACCAGTGATGGGTAGGGTTGGGCAAGAGTTGTCTTTTTCTGTGGGCAGGATTGCAGAGGAGCAGCCCTTCTCCCCCCCTCCCTTCCCCCCCCCTCCAATGACCCTGCCTTTTTGTCTCCCATCTTGTAGAGTGTGGAGGGTGAGCAGCATGAACGGGCAGTAGAACTTCTGAAAGCAGCACAAGGCACAGTGAAACTGGTTGTGCGCTACACACCCAAAGTACTTGAAGAGATGGAGGCGCGCTTTGAGAAGATGAGGACAGCACGGCGCCGGCAGCAGCACAACAGTTACTCGTAAGAATGGACTCTGAAATGGGTATTGGGAATCACAGGTACCCAGTAGGTTGCCAGCTTTTGTTTCAGAGGCAAGAGAAGGAGTTGATGGCTTTTTAGGAACCCCCCCCCCAAACTCCCCCAGCAGAGGGGGTAGAGTAGCTGTCCCCAACCTGTCTGGCACCAGGGACCAGTTTCGGAAGAAAAATTGTCTTCCACAGACTGGACTGGATGGTTTCGCATGCAACCTAGACCCTCTTCATGCACAGATGAAGCTTTGCTTGCTCGTCTGCCTACTTCTCTGTGGCCTGGATCCTAACAGGTCATGGACTGGTATTGGCCTACGGCCCACAGGTTGGGGACTGCTGCCTTAGAGGGTTGTGATATCTTCTAAGGCAGAAATATTATAGAGTGGATGGTTAATTCTGTGAGTATTTAAAAACATATTGAAAAGAGAGTGATGTTTGTAATGCATCTTTTAGTAAAGCAGGTTTTAAGTTCATTGGGTAACTGAGAAAAAAGCTCATTCAGTCAGTCAGTCATTTTATTTGCCACCCATCTCTCTACAGTCTACAACAATAAAATGGAAAAATGATTTAAAAAAATAACAACAGTAAAGGAACAAACCAATAAAAGTAAACAGTGGAAATATGGAATTAGAAAGATGAGTAGAAGGGGGAGCAAGAAGTGTAGGATGGAGGTAGGGTCGCAAGTTAGTCCAGCAGCCATTTCCTGTGTTGTACTCTGCTATTGGGTCCCCAGGCCAACTGGCAGAGCCAAGGCTTCAAATTTGCTGAAAGGTAGGGTGGAGGCAAACCTTACTTGGGTAGGGTGGGGTGGAAGGAAGTTTCAGAGGCCCAGCATTATAACAGAGAAGGTTCTTCTCATGGATTCCATTGGTCAGAGTTCCTTGACTGGCGGGATCCTCAACAAGCTTCCTCTGCCAGTATGGGTAGGGTGGGCATGTCTTAGAGGGACAAGACAGTTCATCAAATAGTGTGGACCTATGCCATGGAGAGGTCATTACCATAAAGGTCATAACCATAACTTGAACTGCACTTGGAAACAAGGTGGCAGCCATGCCAGCTTGTGAGGAAGTGATGTAACATGGATCATTCTACGGGCCCCAAAGACCACTTATGACGCTGCACCTTACATCAGTTGAAGCTTCCAAATGCATTTCAAAAGTTGCCCCAGGTAAAGTTCATTAATCCAGATGAGGGGTGACTAGGACCAGAGTGACCAAGTACAGATCCAGGAAAGATCACAGTTGGTGCACTGATCAAAAGGCTCTTCTAAACGCAGCTGCTACCTGATCTTCAAGCAGAAGTTGCAAGTTCAGGGGAACTCCTAAGTGGTTTAGGACTGGGTCTGAATGGGGTACTGCAACCCTAAAGATGCTAAAGACCTGGATCTGGAAGCCCCGGGTACCCAAAGCCACCATCTTGCCATGGTTCAGACATAACACGTTGTCCCCCTACAGCTTCTAAGCACCATAGAGGGTAGTGGCAGCATCATCAAGTTACCAGGTGGATATGTAAAGTTGAGTATCATCAGCATATTGATGATATTTCAATCCATGGCAATGGATGATGTCACCCAGGCTTCGTGTACATGTCAAAAATGAGTGCACTGAGCCTGAGTCCTGTGGTAAGACATAAGAGAGGCTGGATTTCTCGCTCCCTATCAATACTGATTGAGACCAACCTTGGACAAAGGAGCTCAACCAGCACAAAAGAATGTTGCCAAGTCCTAAGCTATGTAGCAGGCCTACAGGATATCCTGGTCAATGATATTGAAGGCTGCTGAAAGGTCAAAGAGAGCCAGGATGATTGCACTACCACCATCCTGCTCTCGACAGAGATCATTCACATGTGTCATCAGTGCAGTCTCTGTCTCAATATCTGGGCCTGAAATTCTGAACTTTGTTTTCGGAGGTTCTTCTTGATACAGAGGTTGTTCCTTGGGAGCACATTTCCTCTTTCCAATTAATTCAATTGGATCCATGATTCAGGTTCAGAAGATGGGGAATGGAGCCTATTTGTTCCAAGCCAATTGTGTGTCTAGTTTGGCTCTCAGTGCAATTATCAGGCAAGCATTCAGCCTGGGGACTAAAAGAAGCTGTATGCAATCCAAATGCTGTAATCATTTAAATCATTGTTTCTCTGCAACTTTAAGGTATATATCCCAAATAGGTTTTTTTAGGAGGCAACTGAACTTTCTTGTCTTTTCTTTTGAAGACATTTTGATTCTCATCCAAGAAGCCTCTTTGGCTCTGACAGGATAGTAGGGAATGGAAGAAGCTTCTCTCTTTTTTTTAAAGTATTATTTTTTATTCATAAACATTTTGAATACAATGTATTGTATCATTTACAAAAAAGCAAGACAAAAATAAACAAGTATCAACATATATACTAATAATGATAGTGTATCAAAATAATTTTAACTACATTTCTTTGTATTAGCCTATTTATAGTTTTGTTAGTTATATTAACATGTTTATGATTATCAACCCTCTTTGTATTTAATTCATACATAACAATAATATTTCTTCAGCTAATTTCTACCTCTTATCTCTACCACTTGTAAAATCTGTTCCATGTTAAGTAGTGTCTTCTTTGTCCTTTATTTTTAATGTCAATCTATCCATCTCTGCACAGTCTAGAATTTTCCGAATTATATCCTCATCTAATGGGGTATTATCATTTTTCCAATATTATGCATATACAATCCTTGCAGATGTCAATACATGCAAAACAAAATATACAGTCCCTTTATCATATTCTTCTGGGATTATACCCAACAAAAAAAATGTGGTTTCAAATCTATGTGTTGCTTAATCATATTTTCCAACCACATGTGTATTTTCATCCACTATTTTCTTGCTTTCATACAAGTCCACCGCATATAATAATAAGTACCCGGAGTTTGATTACACTTTCAACATTTGGCAGACGTTGCTAAACATTTTTGTCAATCTTGCCAGCGATAAATGCCACCTATAAAATATTTTATAAAGATTTTCTTTATATGCAGTAGCCATTGTCAATTGTCAGTTCCTATCCCACAGTTTTTGCCATTTGTCTAGTTCTATTGTATAACCAAAAATGTTTGCTCATACAATCATTGTTTTCTTTGACTTGTTCCTCTTCCATTTTATAACTTTTGTGTGTGTGTGTGTGTGTGTGTGTGTGTGTGTGTGTGTGTTGGTTCTTTAAAGAAACCCCTCGTTTTTGCATCTTTCTCGTATCTTGTTTATATTTGTAAATGCGGCCACCCTGCTAAATCCACCCCTTGGTTTTGTAATTGTTATCTAGTTTTAAGTTCACCATTCTCATTTAAAATGTCTCTATAGAGAACAATTTTTTTCTAAATTAATAAGATTTTGATGTGTCAATACTTCCATTATGGAAAGCCAGACTGGTATTTTCATATAGTTTTGTAATTTAATTTTTTCCTATACCTGAAGTAAACCATTTCTCACATAATGTCTTTGAAAATATCTATATATCATATTCCTTCCATACCATAAGAAAGCATGCCATCCTAATTGGAGATCATGTCCCTCTAATAGTAATAATCTATGTTTCAAATTTATCCATACCTTTACCAATGTAAGTACAGTTGCCTGATAGTATAACTCCCAATCTGGTAATCCAACCCCCCTGTTGTTTTTAGATTCCTGTAACAGTTTCAATTTTATTCTTAATTTTTCCCTTGCCAAATATAATTCAAAATTGTTTTATTTAGTTCCTTGAAGTATTTTTTCTCTATTCTTATAAAATATAAAAAGTTTTGGTAATGTATTCATTTTTATAGGGCTATCCTCCCTATCAGCGATAGTTGTAAACTCTTCCATTTCTCCAGATCCACCTTAATTTGTTGCATTAGTTTTGTATAGTTATTCTCTTTAATCGTTGCACATCTTGCTGTTAATTGGATGCCTAGATATTTAACTCTCTTTACTATCTGCAAATCTATTTTCTCTGTGAATTCTTTTTTCTCTTTATCTGTGAGGTTTTTAACTATCATTTTAGTTTTTTCTTTATTTTCAACCTTTCCACTTCTCCATATTCTTCCATTTTCCCTATCAATTTAGGACCAGTTTCTAATGGTTCTTCTAATATAAAGACTAAATCATCTGCAAATGCTTGTAATTTATATTTTTCTTTTTTGATCTCTGTTCCTTTTATTTCTTGGTCTTGTCTAATATTTCCAATCAAAACTTCTAGAGTTAATGTGAATAATAATGGGGATGGTGGACAGCCTTGTCTCGTACCAGGGGAATGGAGACGCCTTCAAAAGAAAAAAACAAGAAAGTCCAGTTGCCTCTTGAAAAAAAAGCACCTTTGGAACAACCATGACCTGGATGATGAGAATCTCTACAGACTTTAAGGTGTTTGAGCGTCACTTCCCCAAATTCTCCAGCTAGCCTGCTGGGTGGAGAATTATGGGAGTTGAAATGCGTGTATCTTAAAATTGGTTGAGATGGAGAAACACTGATTTAAGCCACAGCAAACAGATCTAGCTTCAAGTTCCAACAATCTGAAATGTGGGTTTTCATATATTCTGACTATTAGATATCCTTATGAAAATCTAAACTTTTCAGATAGTTCTGTCTATCTGCCTAGAGACTTCTGAAGCCATTGCCTGATACTTCCAAGTATTGCCTTGTCATTGCTGCAGAACTGAAGGGGCTGAGCTAGTTATATGGAAGACCAGGTGTTTGACTCTATCAAATGTATAGGCTCTGGGAATAGGGAGTACTTAATACTGGTTCCTGCTTGACTCTACATAGAATCCATGCCCTGTTGCTATCAAAATTTGGGTTTTGTTTTTTTTCTCTTTCATTCCTACAGATCCTTGGAGTCCCGGGGATAAATTTGCACAAGAGTTAATTGGGCAGCTGATGAGCCTGATCCATCCTCCCTATCCTTTGGAATGGTTTTATCTGTATAGCGGAGACATATTTATCTAGTCCCCTTCCCTGAGTTGGGAGCTGGGCTTCAGTGTACAGTATTTATTCTTTACATTCCTCTTATTTAAAAAGATGTTCAGTGTAAACAATTCTATATGTTTGTGCAAGGCCTTATCCTTTGTAAAGCTGGAGACAATAGTTACAAAACTACCAAGAGAATCATCCAAGCCTCTGATATATAGAACTATGAAAGAAAAATATGCCATGAGAAAACCTTAGAGGTGCTTTTACCACTGTAGGCAAAAAAAACCCTCCGCTTATCCAATTCCCAACACCATTTGCTGCACTCTATAGGAAAGGTTTTGGTGTTAAATAAACAGCCCTATTGAGACGTAATTCTAGATAAAACATTAGACGTATTATGTATTCATAACATTGTAGGTGTCTACATTGTTCTTTCAGTCTTGCTTCCATGAACAGTTATTGTGAGGCAAAAATAACAAATGTTATATGTTTATAGGGAGAGGCTGACAGTAACAATAGCAACAACTTGGGAGGGAGAGATAATCTGAGGTCATTAAGATGATATCGTAGTTAATTGAAACAATTTTCTTTAGCTAGTCCACATTAGAACATGATACAGCATTTTCAGAAGACAAATATAGGAAACGTCAGTTTCAGCCCACTTGATTGTTCCTCAGTCTCCTGGTCTGTAAAATAATACAATTGCCCAGGATCTAAAAGAGTTGGAGTAAAATTCCCTGAAAGAAGCAATTACAAGAGTATTTCTGAGATGCAAAATACTATAAATATATGCATAAATGAAGTGTATTCTACTGTATTATGGTATGAAAGAACAAAAGTCCCCACTCGCCCAGTAACATCAGAATAGAATCTATAGTATGTTTCTTTTATCAGCTGTTTCCAGCAGGGTTTTTTCATCCTTGGCAACTTGAAGATGTGTGGATGTCAACTCCCAGAATTCCCCAGCCAAAATGTTATTCTAATCTGATATTTATTTGGAAGCAAATTTCTTGGGGACCACAAGCAAGATGTAAGTGATAACCTCTTAATTTTTTTTATGCCTTTCTGTCGCCCCACTTTTCACTGCCTTTAAGACTCCAGTTTATTCTCTTCCTTTGACCCCTCCTTTCTACCTCCCCAGTTGGTGGCCAAAGGGAAGGAACATTCTTCTCACCAGCAGCATGAACAAGGTGCTTTCAGAGAGCTTTTGTATCAGGTTGAGCTCCAGAGATTTTCTATCCCTCTTCCTTTTTCATGGCAGAGCAGCAAAGTATGGAACGAAGGAACTACTGTAGGAGGAAATGTGGTGGTTTTTATCTGTCTACCAGCAGGGGGGAGTATTACTACAGCGAGGAACTCAAAATCACACTTCTATAAGATAAAAATAAAAGACCCAGCAAGCTAGACTGCATTCTACAACACACACAACCCAGTTCTTGTATTAATCCACGGTCTCTGCTTGCACTATCGAATACCAGGCCAATAAATTAAGCCATGAAAAACTAACCAAGAGGGACACTAATCAAGCTGCATGTGCAAATGCAGCTGCTAGATCAGTGATTCCCAAAGGGTGCGGTACCGCCCCCTGGGGGGCGGGATGACTTAGAGGGGTGCTAAGAGGCAAGAGGGGTGGCAGAGGAGTGCTGAAGGTGGACCCCACTCAGGGCGCAATTCAGCCCCCCCCCCTCACCCCGCTTGCCTGGCTAGAGGAAGGTGAGCCAGGGCTGATCCATTGCACCTTGGGTCCTGCCTGGATTCTCTGCAGCTGCAGGGTCTTGCCTGTTAGAGGTGGGCGGAGCGACCAGGGAGCATGATGCTATGCCTCCCGCATCACCCCTTCCCTCTGCCGCCCGCCAACCTGCGCGTTTTGGCTGGATGTGAGCCGCCGCTGTGAGAATGATGTGAGTCAAGCCTCACAAGAGCGGATCTTCCACCCACGGAGCTTGCATAGCGGCGGCCCGCACTCGGCTAAAACGCTCAGAGGGGTGGCTGGCAGAGGGCCAAGGCAGGCAGTGTAAGCCTCATGTTTCCTGGTTGCCTCCCGCACTCCCCCTCAGCAGCCGAAACCCACGAGCCACAGCTGCTGATGAGATGTGGGCTGGCGGGGAGCTGAGTAGCGACGAGTCTGCCCTGGCTGGCTCACCTTTCTCTCTGCCACCCAACTGCCTACAAACTTACCTTCCTCCCACAGCTGGTGGCAGAGGGAAAGGTGAGCCATCCAAATTGGGCTGGTTCACCTTTCCTGCAGCTCACTTCTCCTGCAGCTTCTGCCGTGGTCAAGGCTGCAGCCTCGCTTGGAGTTCCCAGTCCTTTCCCCAAAAGAGGGAGGGGTGGAAGTCCCACCCATGGCCCCTTTGTTGGACCTGGAAGCCTTGCCTGCTGGCTTTTCCGAGCAACGCGGGACCGGGCGTGAACGGACAATTGCGCCCAGTCGCTGGGACTCTGGGGGACTCGTTACAAGTGACACTCCCAGGTGACTACCTTGTTGGAAGTGTGTGTGTGTGGTGTGTGTGTGTGTGTTTCAGGTGGGTCTCCTAGCTTAGGTGGAGAGAAGAAAGGAAGCGATAGAGAAAGAGAGAAAGAGAGGAAGAGACAAGAAAGTAAAGAAAGAAGGGAAAGAAAAGGGGAGAGAAAGGAAGAGAAAGGAAGAAAAGGGGTAGACAGAGAAAGGGGAATGGAAAGAAGGGACAGAAAGAAAGAGAAGGAGGGAGGGAGGAGAAAGTGAATGGGAGGGAGGGAGGGAGAAAGGGAGAGAAAGAAGAGACAAGAAAGAAAAGGGAAAGAAAGAAAAAGGGGAAAAGGGAGAAAATGAGTAGACAAAGAAAGAGGGGGATGGAAGGAAGGGACAGAAAGAAAGAAAGAAAGGGAGGGAGGGAGGGAGGAGAAAGTGAATGGGATATATGGAGGGAGTGAAAGAGAAAAGGAAAAGAAAAAAGGGGAGAGAAAGGAAGAGAAAGGAAGAAAAGGGGTAGACAAAGAAAGGGGAATGGAAGGAAGGGACAGAAAGAAGGAGGGAGGGAGGAGAAAGTGAATGGGAGGGAGAGAGAGAGAGAGACAAGAAAGAAAAGAAAGAAAAGGGAAGGAAAGAAAGAAAAGGGAAAAGGGAGAAAAGGGGTAGACAAAGAAAGGGGGGTGGAAGGAAGGGACAGAAAGAAAGAGGGAGGGAGGGAGGAGAAAGTGAATGGGATATATGGAGGTAGGGAAAGAAAAGGAAAAGAAAGAAAAAGGGAGAGAGAAAGTAAGAAAAGGGATAGACAAAGAAAGAGGGGGGATGGAAGGAAGGGACAGAAAGAAAAAGAAAAAAAGAAAGGGAGGGAGGGAGGAGGAAGTGAATGAGATATCTAGTGCAACCACCTGCTACAACAGGGTTAGAAGGGTGGGTATGGGTGTGTATGTGTATGTGTGTGCATGGCTGTCAAAACTCCAAAAACAGGTCAAGTAGCTCTGGGGAGGTTAGTAATAAATTAGAACACTTGCTAAGCAATTGGCTATTAAGCAAGGACCACTTGTGTTTGGTCACATGGCACCTGGCCACACCCACCCAGTCACATGATCACCAAACTACCCACCCGGTTATGTGACCACCAAGCCACACCCAGCCAGGAAGCCACACCCAGCCAGTCACATGATCACCAAGCCATAACAACAGAACCAGTTGTTACGAAATTTGAATCCCACCCCTGAGTGGAGGGCACTGAGGATGAGTTTGTAGCACCAAGGGGGCGGTGGACTGAAAAAGTTTGGGAACCACTGTGCTAGATTCTTTAATTCACCTGGGTCAAGCAGGTGTATCAACATAACCAAAGTATTTTACGCTGAGATAGCCACTGCTGGAAGTTGACATGAAATCGATCAAGATTCAAAGTCTTTAAATGATCATGGAATGCGATGCTGAGGCAGAGTCGGTGTACTGGCACGACGAAGACCTCTGATTCACTCTGATTTTCATGGAGGAGCATGAGACAGATGCGGTCTTCAACTCTACTTATGTGATCCTTAGGCCCAGTTCAGGTAGTCCTGGACTTAAACCATTGATTTACCGACAGTTCGAAGTTACAGCTATACTGAAAAAGTGACTTACGATTGGCCCTTGTGCCTATGACTATTGCAACATCTCTGCGTTCAGGTGATCAAAATGTAAGTGCTTGGCAACCAACATGTATTTACAATGGTTGCAGTGTCCCAGGGTCATGTGATCACCATTTGCTACCTTCCCAGCCAGCTTGCAGTAAGCAAAGACAAAGTGAGTGTGGGAAGCAGATTGGCTTAACAGTCACATGATTTCACTGCTTAACAATCATGGGGGGAAAAGGTCATAAAATTGGGTCCGACTCACTTAACAATCTAACCTCTGCTTAGCAATAGAAAGTCTGGTCCCAGTTATGGTTGTAAGTTGAGGCATACTTGTACTGCTGCCATAGCACCTACTTATTTTGCTGCCAAATCTTGGTTGTGTATTCAGAGGCATTTAGTAGTGCATTTTCTCTCTCTCTTTTGTCCAGGATAAGCCCATTCCTTATCAACATGGAAAATAACTAAAAAAGTCCTTGCCCAGTAAATGGCTCAGCAGCTGTTTAACTCAAAATGCAATATAGAACAGAGGTTCCCAAACTTTCTTAGTTTATGGCATCCTTTCTGGCTTTGTAATTTTTTCATAATACTCCAAGGCCAAAACTGTGAACTATCTTAAAGTAATAGTTTGCATGCTGTCTGACAGATGTGAAATATCATTGTGTTTTCCTTAAAAATTAAAATATTCCATAGTGCCCTTGTGATTTTGTTGCCGTATCCTAGGATAGAGATAACGTTCAAACCTAACCTTATTCTTAATTCTAGAGGAACTCTGCTTCTAAAAAATAAATCATAAAACTTTGGGGGAAGTTGAAACTATATTCCAATAAATCTGTTTGCATTCTTCAAAAGCCTCTTGAGAAAAAAAATGTTGCATCTAATAGTGGAGTTTCATAACAGTTTATGAAGGAATGTATCATCACAAAAAATGAAATTGGTGCAAGTGGGGGTGTGTCTGATAGAAATCCTTTGGATCCATACTTTGCACGCAGTGGTTTCCTCACACTGTGCCAGTAATGTGCCCTGTTGAGGATATGGTTCATATGCAGCACTACGAGCAGAAGAAGTAGGCATAGAACTTAAGCAATCACTAGAAAGCTTGATATTTAAAAGTTTTGAACTTGTAGAAATGCTTGTTATCATGTTCTATCTTTGGTAGGTACTTAAGTCCCAAGAAATGTAGAGGACTCCTGGACATTAGTACTGTGTGCCTCATTATTTAACTCTTTCCTCTCGGGCTATCGTAAGGAAACCTCCACTACTGAAAGTGCATTGGTTGGGAATACAAAGAGTGTGGTTCCACTCCAATCAAATAATATCTTTGGCTCTCTTTTTTTGCAGAGAATGAAGAGGCACTAACAGCTCTGTTCTTGCTAATTATCTGTCTACCAGTTGATGCTATTTGTGCTTTTTAAATCCTTGTTTTATCCAAAGATGCACTTAATTAGTTTAGCCCTGA